TTTGTTTATTATATACACATTTTAAAATGAAAGATGGTTCATGTTTGCTTCTTCTTATATGTAGATTTAATAGGCCAGTTAATAAAATTTGAGGAATAAGAAGCCAAAAAAATGTTAAAAATATTGGCAATAAAATGGATGATATTTATTAGATATTATTAGCCTTTTGACTAAATTGAAGTGCGTAAAGAAAGATTTTAAAGTCATAATTTTCAGACACACCTATAGGACTTTTGAGTAACAACAGCATTCCATAAGTTCATTAAAATATTTTTGTACCATTAGCTTTTGTCATATTTGTCTTTCCTAACCTATTTTTCTGGTTCTCTTATCATATTCTCTATAATGAAAATTCCTCAAAGAATTTTATTAAATACCATCATAGTTTTTAATTTTTATAAAATGAAATGCCAAAAATTTCAAGATAGCTACCTAATGTGGAGCTTGTTTCTTTACTTGGATAGCAGTAGCTATATGATGTGACATGGGGCCTATGAGGTGCTGGACTTGAGCCTTGATAGATATCTATCTAGGCATGTTCCATGGCTGTTCATAACTGAGTTGTTTTTCTGGGATGGACAATTATCATTCAGTGGATTAAAGTGTTGATTTGTGAGTCCCTGGTATGGTAGTACAAACTTAGACAGTGGAAACAGGGCAAGCAATAACTGAACAGTACTAAGAATATAACAAGATATCCTTAGACATGGATAGTAGAACATAAACTAACCTACCTCCATAGATTAAATAAAGGGTTCAATTTAAAATTACCTGATGGTTCCCCAGATTAAACAAATGCCTGAAGGTCAGAGTGCAAAAGCAGAAATGTTACAATAGTTTGAATGTCAATGTAAATAATGTTTTGTTTGTTGGGTGTGGCTGCAGGAAATTTAATGAATGCTGCAATATATCCCATATTCAGACTCAGTGGGGTACTCCTGAGATAATGACTCTCATAGGGTTACCCAGTTTATGTATTGTTGGCAAGCATAGGGGCCAATAAGGGTACCTGGAAAATCAGCTGAGCATTCCTGTAATCAGTTTTGTGTTACTTGTGTATGATGAGGAAGTTGTGTTATCTTGCAGGAGGAAAATATTGCCATCTGGAAATATGGCAAATATCGGATGTGTGTGTGGTCACTCACAAGATTTGTGTATGTCATTTCTGTTAAAGAAGATTCCTATTTCACTAGTGGTGCTTTTAAATGCACCGAACACCATTACAGAGCAACTAACAGCCTGCATTACACCTTGCTAGATCCATATTCATGTGGTCTCCTCCATACGCAAACTCAATTGTTTACCTCACAAAGATGAAAATATGAGCAGGTGATATGGCACCACTCTTACACAGTCTATTTACAATGTTCTTTGACTCAGTAACTGATGATGATGTGTCAATTATAAGTACTCTTGCTGGTTGATAAATATGAAACCCCATGGAATTATAAATAGGTGTGATTCCTTATGGTCTTAGTTTTTATGTCATGACACCATATACAAGTAGATGCATGGCTGTGGGATGATATTTGATATTGGTGTGGGAGGTTTTTTTTTTTTTTTTTTTTTTTGCCTTTGACATTCTTAATCGATCTGTTACTGCCACACCCATTTAAAATTGTATCATCTAGTAGAATCGTTGTGTACCTAACAAGACTCAAAGAATATTAAGCTATGGTTTTGCTTTCAGTTTCACTGAAAATCTAATGGTTCAAATTTGCTCCAATGACCAATAATTTGATTAAAAGAATTTTATTTATTCTAAATAGTTAATAAAAACAATCTCAAAGCACTAAAACTTTATATGAATTCAGATAGCCTTTTTTGTACAAAAGTATTTAAAACCTGGGCATGTTTGTTTGGTTATATTCATTTATGACAATAATCATTTTAAAGTTCTTGCAACCATTAAATTTTAATATTGCTGCAAACATTGTGACTTCTTAATTTCATAAAACTGTCTGCTACCAAGTGTTACTACTAATGACTAACTTCTACTATGAGACTAAGCCACTCATACTTACTGAATGAAGAAGATCAGTTAGTATGCCAAGCATATGAAATGACATATTAACCGAGTGTTCGGGCCTTGCTCTCTCAAGACAAGAATACTATAATATAATCATGTATGAGCTCTTTGAGTAAGCAAAAATGTATGACATAACATTATTTCTTAAAACAGTGGGCCTTTACCAAAAAATATAAGCCAAATAAGAACAACTTCTCTACAAATTATATATCTGAAAAGAATACATCTATGAAATCAGACTCTCGCTCAAAACCCTCTTTACAAAATTGCATCACTCCTACAAACTGATTTCTTACAAAGAATACATATTCTATTCATACGATTCTATTCTAAAAATCTTATTGGCATTAAATAACCCATTGATGTTTATATGTCAAAACAAAAACCCAAACCCTCCCTCATGCTACCAACTTTGACTACTCCTGATGATTTGGAACTTAACTTTCTTGGCAACTGCTACAAAAAATTGCACCTCTTTTTCTTGGTTCTATCTCTAGCTTTCTGGTTCTATCACTGGTATGGACTATTGAAGCTCCATCTTTTGCACTGCTGCCCGCAACCACTGGTTTATATAAAGAATTAAATATCACATTTAACCTTCCATGTGTTCTTGAGATGTGAAATTACTCTTGTTAGGAGTTTGAACTTTCATTTTCTTTCCATGATGCTGTTAACATCCATTGTTTTTAGGCTAAAAAAAAAAGAAAAAAAAAAGGAGGATGTAAACTAATAGCACAATTTATCTTGGAATATAATAATTTTTCCCAACCAAAATTATCCTAAGATATCTCAATTTCATAACTGTTAAATATATTATTTATTTTACATTAGGGAAGGTGGAATGTGAAATTAATATATTTCCTGATAAATGGAGAAGACAAATATATTTTTAACTTGCCAACAAAATTGACACATTCCAATTCAATAAATGTTTGACCTTTGAGTTTACCTTAAAGTGTACATTGTAAACTCATAGTCTTGGTTTTAAGTGATCCTGATGTCCTCTCTAATCTTCATTTGATGATTCGAATTATTATTTTTGAGTTGTCCTTTCTTTATTCTAACTTTCCATTGATCCATGCTTTAATAAGCATTTTTATTAGTCTGTTAGCTTAATCCTTTCATTGCTAGAAGTTACCTCTTGCAACTTTCATGTCCCAATAAAACTTCAGACAAAGTCATCATTCTGTTACAGAATATAGTTTATGTTGTACACACTGATGAGTTAATTGGGACAAGTACTCACTTGGCATGTGATTTAATGTGAGGTTACTACTCTTGTAGTCTTCTGGCGAACTCATTTTTATATCACTTAGGAGTTATCACAGTTTTCACATACTACTAAAATCTGTCTGAAATTCATATATTGATTGTATACCTTTGCTACTTTAACCAAAGAAAAACCAAGAAATACTGTGCACTGTCTTTCTGACTAACAATCATTCATGGCTTCCACAGCTACACTACCTCTTTACCTATTACAGCATGCATATATTATTATTCAGTTGTGTCCATTTCTATAAGTGGGGGAAGGTGAAACCAGACAGCATAGTGCTATCTTCAATATTTTGGCATTTTAGTTTTATAAAATTACTTGTTTATTTTTAGTAAATAAATTGGTGTATGTCTTTTAGCATATACTTTAAGTAGGTATCAGATCAAATATTAATTATTATTCTATATGATAATGCTGCTCCATGTATACCAATGATCATTATAAAAAAAATCCCAACACTTAGAACTTTGATATTGGTGGAAAACATGTTATGCATTTTTGCAAACATCATATAGTTGATCTTTAAGTATAGATTTGATCATTGCAAGAATGACGCATATCATTGCCTCTTACAAGAATGACACATACCACCATTTCTCTCAATTTATCTGACCAATTATGAAAATTTGATTTAAAAATTAAACATATGCCTTAAATATTAGAATTAGAATTTGAGTAATTATGGAAATATATTAGTAAAGTATAGATAATTTTAATTCTGTATTTTAGTGGTTAAAATGTTCACTTTCTGACCATGAGACCTGGGTTCAAATCTTAACATGGGCTGTTTGCTCATCAAGATATTATCAACCAGGGAAGGTGGTCTCAGCATGTGGCACCCTTGGAAAGTGTCTGAAAACTGCACCACATATTGACCCAAACCATGTGAGTAAAATTGAGTAGACAGGACTATTCAGAATCCATTATTAGCACAGTCTATTTACAATGATGACCAAGGATTTGAGCATATTGGTGGTGTTCAAGCAATTGATTGCACTAGTTTATGTACTCTCACCCAGAAACTGTAGCTAGGCTTATGCTCAGCATAGTTGCAATATAAACAACAGTTGTGCTTTATGGATTGAGCAGGCATAAGTGATAAGGTATACTTGAAAATGAATCATAGCCATAGAATACTAAATAAATTTACTTTTGTCTCATTTAATACAGGGATTTGACAAATCATAAGGAACTTGAATTTATTAACTACCGTGTTATTTTCTCACAGCAAATTTTTAATTTTACCAAACTGCTTGATAATTGACAGACAAAAATTTAGTGGTTTTTCATAATTTATTTCTTTTCTAGTTTTAGAGAAAATTGAAGAGATATGTTGATTACAAAAATTTACTACTTGATTGATTGAAATATTTTGTTTTTCTATCTAATCAATAAGGAAATTTGATTTTTTTTAATATATTTTGATAACCATAGCATATTGAAAAAAATTTTATAAGCACTCTTTTTATATGTATTTTTTCTTTTTCTTTTTTGTCTTTTTATTAAATTTATACAAATTGAATGTGTTGTATATTTGTATGTATATTTTGTTCACATATATACATACATACATACATTTTATATATATATATATATATATATATATATATATATATATAAAATATATAAATATATATATAAAAATAAAATCATTTTTCCTATGTTTTGATACTAAGCTTATTGTCTGCACAGCAGACTGGATTGTTACAGAAAACAGATGCTGTAGGAGGGAGGTCAAGTTTAAAAGCTGTGCCTATCTCATGTACCAAAGGAAATCCTAGAAACATTCTCATCAACACCACAGGAGGCACCATATCTTCAAATTCCTTTGCTGCTATCAACAAACATGTTTCTCAGGGCCACACAAATTCTCCCCAAGTTACTACAGTCGTGAGTTTCCTATTTTTGACACAATCAAATAATTAAAATTAATTGAAAAGCTTATCCAGACAGAATTTTTCGATTAGAGAAAAAATAATTTTATTTTTAAAAATTTCTTTTTATTTCTATTGTTTGTATTAAGATTTCTTTTTTTGTCAGTTTAAAGTTTATATAGCACTCCAGTTTTGTCAGTTTATAGTTTATATAGCACTGTTCTTGTGTTATGTTTTATTTGTGAGCAGTAGCATTGTTTTTGGTTATTAAAATGTACAACATAACAAAATTTAAGAACTTTTATAATACTGTATAAAATTTAAATAGACACTTTTTAGATGAGGAATCTATGTATTTATTTGAATAGCTTTTTATTTATTTTACATACAATATTATCTTTTCAAGAGTTAATTTGTCAATAAAAAGGAAACAATCAGATATAATTAACAATAAATACTTACATTTTACTCATTCATTTGTTCAGCTGTAAATGACTTAGGACCTATAGAATAGTTCTGTGAAGAAAGGTTTTTATAATGGCCAAAAAAAAAAAAGAAGCAAGTTTACTTCCCTCTCATTGTTTAGAAAACCTATCATAGAATTTCTGACTTTTATGTATAAATTTAAATATTTTACATATAAATACACACTCATGGGTTACAAAATAGTAAAAATGTTTTAACAAATTTTATGATTTTTATAATTTCTCATTATACTTATTTGCTAGTAATATTTTGTAATAACTTTTTTAACAGGTTATTTGAATATGATAATTGTTTTCTGGTCTTTTTAAGTAATGTATTTTTAACAAGTTTTTTGAATTCTTGAACTATATATATATATATATATATATATATATATATATATATATATATATATATATATATATATATATATATAAAAGTATTCATCCAAACAAATCTGATTGAAAAAACTGACAAGGTCTGTCTGTTTTAATTTTTTTTATTATATATTTCTAATTTTTGGATAAAGTGTTGTGTATTATGTTCAGAATTGTACGTAAACTGTCTGAAGTTCTTATTTTGTTATTGTTTAAGTACTTTTGGTTTTCAGGTCATTATCAAGAACTGACATGGTGTCTGTGTGGTAGTTAGAACTCATGTTTTGAAATGATGTCATGAACTGCTATTGGGAACAAGGCAGTGCAAAAAGAATGCAATTTATTTATTTTATTAATTAATTTGTTAATTTTTAATACTAATTAATATGTATGCACATTAATATGCACTTCAACATACGATCTCCTGTAATGATATTTTATTTAATGTGGGCTGCATCTCCAACATTGGGCACACATGGCACCACATTCTCTTGCAGATTAACCTGTCACCTGTCAAAACAGTGCAGTCTGTGCGCATATTGACCAACACATAAACAGCGACAATGTAACTATCAACATAAAACAAATACTAGTTGACAACACCAAAAAACTCTATAGCACTAGTTGCAAATAAAGACTCAAAATTCTAGAAGTTATTATTATATAAAATAAACAGCCCACATTAAAAAAGATATCCTTCACCACAGGGGATGGTAATGTGTGCACATATTAATTAGTATTATAAATTAATAAACTAAATCCTATTCTTTTTGTATTGTCTCATTCCCAATAGACATCACATTAAACCATTTCAAACAAAGGAGTTCTAACTACCACACAGACACCACATAGTTTCTTGATAATGACTGAAAAGTTGAAATTACTTGAACAAAAATAACAAAATATGAATTCAGACACTTTATCCACAACTTTGAGCACAATATTTACCACCTTATCTGAAAGTGGGAAAATACAAAAAAAAATTAAAAACAATTAAAAAAATTAAACATACAAACCTTGTTGGTTCTTTTTAATCCTCTTCGGGTAAGATGAGGATAAATAGAGTAAAATTCCAACATTTGTAACATTTAATTAAAATGTTTTAATATCATTAAACAATATATATATATATATATATATATATATATATATATATATATATATATATATAAATAAATAAAAATCTTTAGTACTCAAATAATAATAATAATATCAATAAATAAAATGGAAAACTCATTCAAACTCAATCTATGTTTAAAAGAAATGTTCTAAAATTGTTGATTATGAAACCTACATAAAAATATTAATTTTTTTAGTCTTACCACTTTTGTTGCGGTCCTATTTTGGTGAAAGTTTAAACTTTGAGTGTCTGCAATAAAGTCTATATGCCAATAGTCTTCTTAAAACTTAAGTAAAAATACATGCTGTAAAATGGACTAAGTTATTAAGTTTAATATTAGATAAACCCATTATTATACTCCCACACTTACATGTATTAATCAAATTCTCTTAATGTATTTGATTTGTCCATTCTACTTTGTACTGTAATTTGAAAGATTGGCTTGTTTTATTTTCTTTCTGAGTAATTAATCAGAGTGGCCTCCCTTATCTTAATATTTGTACTCTGCATGGATTTGTTTGATTTCATGTTCCCCAATATACCTTGCCTTGCAGTTGACCATAATGTGTGTGCGTGCGTGTTCAAATGATGTTTTGTAAAAATGTCCTTACAAATTGTTTTTATGCAGCATTGCACAAATATATTTTCCTTAACTTGACATTTTGCATAATGTTCATTAAATTTATAGAATATATGCACTTTATTTCACAGGTTTTATGATGTGTGTATTTTGTATAGTTTAGTACAATCTTTGTACATATTAAAAATATTGTAAAGTAATTTTCATCTATTAGAAAAGATCAATGTTTTATAAATAGTTATTTGGACATGAAATAATTTTAAATTTCCAGTTTAATGCAAATTTTTTATTGAATATTTCTTTAGTAGAGCTGGTTATAATTGCTTTCCTGATAATGTTGACAGATTTTAAATTTTTCGAGATAAATCATTTAATGTACAAAGATACTATAGAAGGCTGAACATCAGATGGTGTGTCTTAAAAAAAAAAAAAAAAATTAATTTTCAGGACTTTTACCAAAAAAACAAAAAAAATACAAGTATCTAGATCTAAAAGAAACAAATGGAGTTTCAAATTTTTGCAGAGATTTATTATTACAGTAGTAGTTTTTGATATAGTAACCTAGCAACAATAGTATTTGCTATTTAATAAATATATGGTGATGACAGCTAAAATATTCTACATATTAATTGTATTTAAGAACTTTATTGCAACTTTCATTTTTGTTCTAAAAGAAAAGATTTTTGTAATATTTCAAATATTTATAATGCTTAGAAAAATACAATATTGTAATAGGCTTGAATGAATAAAAAAATTGTTGGGCAAATTAAGTTGGGTACATTAAAATATATTAAAAAGAAAAGTGGTAAATAAAATGGGTTTGCTGTAGAGGAGATATATATATATATATTACAAAGAGTTAATCATACCTTGAATCAATTATCAATATTAATGCAATTATTGACGAAATCCCTTTTAGACATAAAAAGCATTATATTACTAATAATCCACTAAATGATGAGATCCCTATGCATAAATGGATATGATGTTTTTAATACAGCTAGTACTTTCAAATATTTCATCTTCAGGCTTTTTTTTTTTTTTTTTCCCTTTAAATCAAAACTGGAAGACAGAAATAAATATGTTTTTCCAACTGAAACATGTTTTTTAGAATGAGCTATTTATTAAAGGGTTATGTAGAAAACATTTAACAGCGTATTTTATTTCATTTTATGAATTTTGTAATTTGTTAAAAAAAGTTTTGCATTTAACAAAATAACTCTTAATAAATATCTCATTCTTAGAAAACAAATTTATTTCATCTTCCAGAAAATGATTGCGTGAAGCCTTTGAAAGTACTAGCTGAATTAAAAATACACCATATCCATAAGGATCTCATCATTCAGTGGATTATTAGTAGTATAATGCTTATAATTATGTCTACTAGTGAAGGGATTTCGTCAATAATTGCATTAATATTGCTAATTGATTCAAGGTATGATTAACTCTTTGTAATATAAAATATATGCTGCCTATTTTATTATGTTTATATATATATATATATGTGTGTGTGTGTGTATATATATATATATATATATGTGTGTGTATATATATATATATATATATGTGTGTGTATATATATATATATATATATATATGTGTATATATATATATATATATATATATATATATATATATATATGTGTATGTGTATATATATATGTGTATATATGTGTTATATCTTAAACAAATTTCAAATAAAAAACAATGTATTCTTTCTTTGTCAGCCTATGGGTGTCAGTTTAAGCCCTGCAGTACGACCAGCTCAGCGGCAACCGATCTCTTTGACTGTACAAGACCTTACTCCAGTATCAGCTACTCAGGTGGCTGCTCAAGTGGTTGCTGCCACACCTCAGGGTGCAGCTCAATCAGCAACTCCGGGACAAGCAGCTTCAGCAACATTACAGACAACTGTAGGAACAGCTGCAGTTATGCCCCCAACAAATTTGACTGCAATGCAAATAACAAATCCTCAAAGAATTGTCACTACTACTACAGGTATTAAACTTTTAAATCTAATATTGCATTTAAAATAAAGGTCTACGATATACCACAACCACACTCTCATGGAGACTCATCTGTCCCCTATCAGATTATAGTGCCATCAGACAACACATTAATAAGCAGTGTAAGGATCATAACATTAGACACCTACTCACAAACAATACTAAAATACTAGTAAAATCAAAATTCGTAATTTGGAAAAGTTTATCAATAAATGTAATCAATACAAAATGTCAGTTTTAATGATATTTGCCTTAAAGAATAAGACATAAATGCAAAGAATTGTTATTCTTATAGATACATAGTTTTTACAAATTTTAAATGCTTCTTTCTTAAAATATTATTAAAAATGTTTCAAGCAGTATATTTATTCATACTAATTTAACTTGTCTGCTTGTAATAAAAAAAAAAAAAAATTATTATTTTTTTTTTTTTTAACAATTTTTGTAGATTAACATTCATTAGCCTTTCCTTTACTCACAACATTTGTGAGGATTTAACATTTTTTTTTTATCATTTTAGAAGTGAGTGGGGTCTATTCATAATATTAATGGCAAATCAATTCCTGACTTTTTAAGTCACCTGTACTTTATTTTTTTATTTACAAATGTCAAGTTTGAAACTGTGTTTTACCATTGATATCTGCCCCCTCTAATTTGTAATAGAATACAGTTTCAAAACTTGACATTTGTAAATAAAAGCAAGGTAACTCTTTAAAAATTGAGATTGGTTTGGTAATTTGTTTCTCATTTTTACACTTTCATATCTGACAGCTATCTGTAACTGGGGAAAAAATTATTGGCAGGAAGATTCAATCTCTACTGACATATTGCTAACATTTATTTTTAATGTTGTGAGCTAACATGATAAAATAGGAAGCATTACTTTTGAATCAACCTTCATACAAAGTATAGATAAAATAAAGTGGATTAAGAAATGAAGACACAGGAATAAGATGACTAGGCTAAACATAGGAATTAAGAAGGTCATTAAAATTATGTTTTAAAATATTTGAAATATACTCTCTAAATATCCTTATGAATCTAATAAACATAATTTTGTAAGATTTTTTTAAATGGTGACTTAGAGATTTCTCTAAGACTGATACATTAGTAAAAATACAATTTAAAGATATCACATTCACATATTGATATTAGGTAATTTGTGCTGTATCAATTTCAGTGAATTATTTAGCATTGATTTATAACAAATTTACAGTTGCATATATTATTCAAAGGAATTAGGTATAACAGCTTGTAGGGTTGAAAAGAAAATGCAATTATTTAAAGAAATGTTTGAGACTAAATATTTTCAATAGAAATGTTTCTCCATTTATTTTTTTTTTGAGTTTTTGTTAAACTTTATCTTGTAATTTATATAATCTCTAACTTATCAGCAAGCACCACAGTGAAACACCAAGTTATTCAGCAACCAAAAGGACTTTCTCCTCAAATGGTCTTAAAAACCACTCCCATTCAAACTCAGAAGTTGGGAGCACAGTTAACTGTAAGTAAAACATTTACTGCTTTATTAATTTTGTTTTCTCATATTTTGTTTTATCACATACATATGTTAAATAATAGTTTTAGACTATTATTTTTTAGTGGCAGTGTATTTTGGTTCAGACTTTCTGAGGCTGACCTTAAGGTCAGATGGTAGACTAAATAGGGATCTTGATTTTGACTGTGAGAATGTTTTTGAATGTGGGAATGTTAGAGGGATAGAAAGTGTTAAGTTTTTTTTTTTTTTTTTTTTTGTCATACACATGAGGCATGCTATTTTTGTGTTATGAAAACTGCTCCCCAGGATAGCAACCCCACTAGTTAAAAAAAAAAAAAAATGTACATGTTGACGTGTTTAATAAATAGATAAGTTTAAAATTACCTTTGTTGAAGTTCTCATTTTACCTCTGAACAAACCAACTAGCAGTGAGGGAGGATGGCCGAGAGAGAAGAATGCATTTTTGTTAAGGAATTAACCTCGTCAACCAAAAGACCTCTCCAGAACAAAGGGGTTATACAACACATAGATTAAATGATCTTTCCTTATTTTATGCTATCCTCTTTGCTTTATTTTCTTTGCCAATAACACTATTCAATTTTGATATTATAATAATAATAATAATACATATGGCGTTCAAAGTGGTACAAACCTCCAATAACACTATTCAGTTTCTGTGTAATAATAAGTATAGCATAGCATTGAGTGTACATAGAAGTGGTACAACCCTCCAATGATATCATTCAATTTCATAATAATAGTAATAATAAGTACAAGAACTGATACAAGCATTCACCATCATCAGTAGCTGAGAAGTGAAGCTCATGTGAAACGCAACAATTTTGTCTGACAAGCACTTGGAGAGCAATTACTCTGACATCACACGTGAGCACATGATTGGATTGGTAGAAGAATCAATTGGAAAGTATGAAATAACTTTGGTTTCAGTGTAAAAGAAAAGTGGTAAGAACATCAGCCAGAGGCAGTGATAAAAAATGAATCACAAGATATTGGATTTTTCTCAAACCAGAGAGAATTGTTATTTAATCATGAAGATCCAAACTTCTTGTTATATATAAGAAGAATAGCAAGTGTCAAATTGCTGACTTTGCTGTTCTATATGATACAAGAGTGGACTCCAAAAGAAATGAAAAGATAGAAAAATACCAGGATCTGGCTTGAGAGCTGAAGAAACTATAGAACATGAATGTAGAACTAATTCCTGTAGTAATGGAAGTGCTTGGAACACTACCTGGAAAACTGAAGAAGTGCTTAAGAATAATTGGAACTGAAACCAAGATTGTAGACAACCAGAAAACTGCCATTTAGTCTTGCTAGAATTCTCAAAAAAGTTCTTGGAGTTGTGAGGAGTCTTCTTGACACCATGCCTAAGGGACAGAATTTCCATTGACTACATCAGTGTGTGACACCAACATAATAATGTGCATAGTATACTTTTATCAGACTGCGTGTCATACTTGGTATATTGGCCGTACTGTACCCCAGCATCACTTTGTTGGCATGAGGCTCTCTCACTCAATAATAATAATAATAGCAGCTGAAATAATAATTTCACTTATCAAATTTTATAAATCTCTGTTAATAGATAAATCACTCAATTGGTGTCTTTGTCTTTTCATTTTGATGCTATTATTTACACAATTTTTAAACATAATTATTGCTTGTAATAATAAAAAATACTTCTATATACTCAACAGAAAAACCGTTTAGAATTGATACGACAGCAGCAAGTGAAAAGAACTGCACTTACACCCCCAGCAATTACATTAACCAGCACCCAAAAATCTCTCAATTTATCTGATGTTGTTCAGATGCAGGTATGATTATGACATTAATACTTTATATTTCAAAAATTTTAATTGATTTTTCTTTTGTTTGTAAATCATTTTTCTTTCATAATCTTATTATACAGTTGTTGTGAAAAAATTTGTTACTTCTAATATAAAAATGAAATGATATTTTGATTACCGTATATACTCATGTATCATGTGACTTTTGAAGACCTAAATTTGAAGCTAATTTTAAGGGGGTTGTATCATACATGAGATGTAAAATTAGCATATGAACCGCTGCTGTGGCTATGCCATTGACCAAATTATCCTTTTACTGTAGTCAAATTAGCTTCAAAATTAGGTCTTCAGAAGTCACATGATATGTGAGTATATATGGTTGGTATTGTTTTTTTTTTTTTTTTTTTTTTTTTTTCTCTTTAGAAATACATAACTACATCTATAGGCTTGCAGCTTAATGATGAAAAAAAAGCATTAATCTTACACAACAAATATTTTCCTGCATAATCTCATTACTTACCAATGCACTTAATGGAGGATATTAATTATATCCATCACATATATACATTCACATCAAAACTCCGCTAATTATGCCACAGGACATGGACATGTTGATCCACTCTTGTGATACACTGATGTCAACACAAATATTATTTTGCCATTTCAACAGTTATTAAACTATAAATTAAACTGAATTAAATAATCAAATTGATCTCTACCCACCAGATTTGAAAATGTGTTTAAAATGTTTAATGTAAAAAAATGTTCTAATATCTCCTACTTAACACATATCCCATGAGAAGTTAATGTGTAAACAATTATCATTGTTTATTCAGTTAGTGCATTTTGTGTCACTGTGGTCACCACTCCACTTGTAATTGTGGCTCATGGTGACACTTAGGGCTAAATAGGGCAATGGCTTGTCGGTTTGTTTTGCACTGGGGATATTGAGATTACCCAGTCCTTCATCCCAGAATTTTCTATGCTCACTGGTAAAGTTGTTGACCTCTGAGGTGCAGCTCCTACACCCAGGCTGATGACTTGTCAATGGCTGCTTGGCACAGATGGGTTTGGAAAGAGGTGTTCCCCTTCACTGGTTGGGTTGGGAAACCATTCCAGCTACTCTTGTAATCCACCTCTCCTCCCCCCAGCTATGGGTTTATTAGTAAGACTTATATCCCTAAACCATTATCCCCCCCCCCAATTCTTCCAATCTAAAAAAAATTCTGGCTTTAAATAACCTGCAAATGGTTGATGAGCTGTAAAAAATAAATCAATCAATGAAACACTGATTAGCTACACAGGTATATCTTTTAGATTTATTTACATTCTCTGGAATATAAATATATAAAAACTACTGTGGCCACAAAGTGAGGGAATCAGTTTATATATTGATTGTAATATAGAAATGATATCACTAAACCATTAGTATCTCAAAAAAAAAAATCTTCCAATCTAAAAAAAAACTTTCTGGCTTTAAATAACTTGAAAAGGGTTGATAAACCATAGAAAATGAATTCAAACCAGCTTGAGGGGTTGGCTTTGTCTATCTTAGACATACCAGCTGCTGCTGTTACAGTTGTGGTATATGTTGTGCATGAACAACCCTTGTGAGTTATGGGATTCATAATTGTGAAAGTGCATATTAGGTTTAAATAATTATTTAAATGACTGATGTTTTGCTTATATGTTAATTTGTACACAAATTTTATTATAATTTTGGTCTGTTGCTATATTCTTCACTATCATGGATCATATTAGTTTGAAATTCAGTTATCTATGTTTACCTGAGGAATATCCTTAATGATTTGCTGTTTAATTTGCTTGGGCTTTTCAATATCTATTTTGATTGCTATTTGTGCAATTTTGTGTTCTAGTAAGTTCTATGTTAACAGCTTCTTCTATCGCACTTCTCACTTGTGGAACTCTCTTCTGGCTTCTTTCTTTCCTATTAACATTGTACTTCAACAATTTAAATGCAATGTCAATTGTCATCTTCTGTCATCTTAATTCTTGTTCTTTTATTGTCCTCTCTCCATAATAGTATATTTTTCTCATATTCTTTAACACTCAGTAACCCTTTGTAACTTATTGGGTTTATTGCCTTGATTGGAGAAAAATAATTAAATGTGTAATAATGAGACATTTTTCAAACTTTCACAGGCAATAAACCTATTCATATAGCTTCATGTTTTGTCACTTTTCCTCATATTTTGTTTGAAGTGTTTAAATTATAGTTCTACTTCATGTCTTAGACCTTATGCCTTAGTAGTCAAAAAATACTTCACCACTAGTTTTGAGTCTAAAAGATAAAATAGATAAAATGAAAAGGCTGCCAGGTTTACCCAGTGAAAACAAAAGAAAATCATAAATCGAACCTAAAAAAAAAAAAAAAAAAAGAAAGTTTATTTAATGCCATATAAAATCTAAAAAATTAAACGTACTCTATACTGGCAAAAAAAAAAAAATGTACAATGATTGTTATTCTAATAACTAAGAATAGAATGTCAGAAAATATCTGTGTATACAATGGGTTGATGTTGCCGGTGTTGCTGTAAATAAATTTATATTATGATCTGAGTAAAATTAGAACTTTTAAAATATTCCCTTTTATAGCAGCAAGGTCAGAAACACAAAGACAGACAAAACTCAAGGCAGCCTGAAGTGGCCATGATAATTAAACGTCAACGCATGGCACAGCAACAGCAGCAGCAGCAACAGCAGCAGCAACAGCAGCAGCAACCCCAGCAAAATCTGCAAATACAAAAGATGGTGGCACAAGCTCAGAGCACACAGACACAGGCTACAGTTACTGCAACACAAGCCCAGGTGAACCATAATAAAAAAAAAAAAAAAAAAATATCAAAACGATCAAATTTTCTCAAAGTTTAAAAAAAAAGATCAATACTCAACACAAAAAATGATTCTGAAATCAAATAAAATTAAATATCTCATTTTAAATATTTTCTAGAGTACTCAATGATAGTATATTATTAGGGACATAGTATAAAAAATTATTTAAATTATCTCTAAATATTAGTAAGAAAGTATCAATTAAATATTATTTACACTATTTACATTTGGACTATTGTCCTCATCTTTGTTGTTGTTATCACAACATTTAAGCCATTGTACCGTCTGACCTTCATCTGGTGGATATTGATCTGAGTAACCTACAGGGAATTCTGAATTGAACCCTTTATTTAATGTATGGGAGTAGACTGTTATTGTTACACTGCCTATGTCTAAGAATATCTCGTCTAGTTCACAAGGGTTTTACTGAACAAAAGAGCAAATCAGGAAAATTGAAATTGATCAAATTCAGCAAGGCTATGTCTAATTGAATGCCAAGATGAAAATGGTATGGTAAATCTGTTTCTAGGATTTCAGGAAAAACTTAAAAAACATTCCACTATGCAGGACCTTTTGTAACCACCCTCTAATTCATCTGCATCCGTCTTGAATATTTTTTTACATTATGACTATTACATAGCTTGAAGTAAACTTATATTGCAAATTCTTTAAATAAACTAGAATAACTGTCTTTTGTTTGTCAATAAAAACATTATTACTTTATTGCAACACATATTTTAACACAACTATAGTAAAAAAAGCATATTTTTCTTATAACCAGCATTATAACAGTAAAACAATCAAAATAACAAAATTTGTCATATTGATATTATTTTACTTTATGAAACTATTTAGATGTTTTAACATCTAGAAAATTAAAATCACTGCTTTATAAACATTTCTAATCTCTAAACATTCTGAACTAAAATCAAGCACATTATCTACTTGAAACACAATGACACAAACTAAAACATACTTTTCTTTACTTTACTTCCTGCAAAGTCAAATAAATATGACTTTATCATATTGATGTCATTTCAGTTTATGAAACTATACTAACTTAAAGATAATCTGATCCTGCCACTATGAATGCTCATGGGGTTTATTATTAAACTTAGTTTTTAATGATCAGCTCTTTTATTTTAATAATGAAGAGTTCAGTATTCTTTCAGAAAAAAATGAATTTATATTGGCTTTTTTTATTATTATAATCTTGTTTTATTTTTAAACTGCAGGCATTATCTTCTGCTCAGATCATAAGTCAGGCTGTTACTGCACAAACAGCAACTTCTTCAGCTGCAAGCACATTGCCAGCCATCATGAAAACTATCACAACACATGGCACACCATTGTCTATACCTGTTAATATGACAGGACAGAAAACACAAGTTGGTAAGTATCTTTTTTTATTTTTGTTCTTTTTGTATTCATATCTATGGTAAATCAAAAAAATGTTTTTGCATCTCTTTCTGTAATCAGGGAATTACTTAAATTAACTTGTCTGCTAATAAAAAAAAAAACAGGGAAGAGTTTTTCTTTGAACACCTTTCATAGATTAGTATTCATTAAACCTTGCTCTACTAACAGCATCATTAAAATTTAAAAATAATTTTTTATTTATTTTTTTTTTTTTTAAATCATTTTAGAAGAGGAGGTCCTGTTCATAATATAAGTATGGTGTCAAATTGATTTGTGACGTCTTTTTTTTTTTTTTTTTTTTTAATTATTATTATACAAATCTCATGTTTGAAACTGTTTATGTCATTAATAACTGCATACTAAAGGGTTTGTACAGGTCCTGGAAACCTTGAAAAGTCCTGAAAAATTGACAGAGCCTTTTCCAGAGCTTGAAAAGTCTTGGACCTTGAAAAGTTCAGGAATTTCCTAAACTGGACTTCACACACATCCCTTTTCTCAATTCATGAAAGTCAAAATACCAAATCCCATAAGTCTGGCTTTTTTACAAGCTAAAACTGTCCTTTAAGAAAAATGTTTTTTTAGTCATCAGTAATTGGCAATTATTGTGAATGGTTTGTTTGTTTCCTTGATTAGAAAAAGTTTTTGACTTTGTAGTTACTTCTGTATTTTCTCATCTAGGTGACAAAAAAGAGAGAAAGAATATGAAGGCATGTCTTCTAGTTGTTAGCCTCAATCAAATGCATCAGAGACAAGTAAACATCTTCGTCAAAGTTAAATTAATTCACAATCATTAAATTTGTAGTTGAAAAGAAAATAATGAATTATCTTACACTAATAAAATACATTTTAGTAGAATCTTGAAAAATTTCAGTGTTTTTTAAAATTTAAACAATTGAAGAAATTTTAATCACATGTCAATTTCAAAAGTAAAATGTCCTTTTGATCTCTAATCAGCTGTGGGTAAGTTCATATTTTAAAAATAGATATTTTACATGTCCTGTGTCAATGTATATCTGTGTGTAAACTACGTTTGTTTAAGTTGTTGCCAAAAGTAACAAGTTTGAGAATCAAATTTGACTCGGAGAAAAATGTAGAAGGATGATAGGATAGAAAATGTGCCTTTGAAAAAAATAAGAATGTTATTTGTAAAGTTTGCAGGGTAATAATGACTTGTATCTCTAGCTTTTGTTGTAAGTGTGAAAAAGTGATGAAATATATTAAAAATTATTTGGCTTTTATATTGCTTGGCTTTCTATTAAAAGTTCAATCTGGCAACCCTGTTTCTTTACTTTTGTATTTCTGTCATAAATGGCTAGAAAATGTACAAACATGTGAAAGGCTCCTAGACAAGTCATCAAATTTTTTAACTTAATTTAAAAAAACAGAAAAATGTCCCTAGACCAAGGCTTTCTCTGCAGTGCTGTCAGACATGAATGATGTTTTATTTCCAGTGAAACTGCAGATTTTTGTGTCAGTTACAAAAGACATTAAACTGTTTCTGATAAAATAGTGATAAACCATTGTTTCCTTTCATTGCAGATGATCTTTTTAGCATGATCATGAAACTGTTAAGAAGGTTTATAAAGAAAGAGCATACTAAAAAGATAATTACATTTTCCAAACTGAATGAATTTGTAAGAATTTTGTCAAACTCAAACATTCGTAAAGAAAGATGCTACAAAGATGGAGTGTAGATTTCTGGCAGATAAGGATATGCAAAATTTATCCCAAATAAGAAAAGTGTCAACAAAAGATTTGTTTGCATGCAGAATTGCAACAAAGACAATTTTCATCATTGTGAAACTTCTGGCAAAGTCTCCACTTAGATAACCTATTGTAAGGTCACTTGTATGGCTGAACACTGGATCCATTTGTGGAAAAAAGTTTGCCACAGAAGGCAGTCTAAAAAGATGTCTTTCTCACAGGATGGGTAAAAAACAAGTCTGATTGTCATGACGTCATCAGTCAGTACAAAGAGTTTGAGGAGAAGGCTATTGAAAATATTGCTTTAATTTCAGCAAGCATGAATAGTGTCTGGACTACTCGTCTTTGTCTAGCAACAAAGAATATCAAAAACTGTGGAAAGTTGTTCACAGATTGCTGGTGCTCTCTCATGGACAAATCTCAGTGGAGAGAGGTTTCTCAGTCAATCATGGACTATTTGGCCACAGTTGGAGATACTGGGAATGTTACCATGACTAAGGTTCTTCTCTGTAGTTCTTCCAATGCCAGAACAACATTCATCCAATACCTTGAGGCTAAGAAGAAACATTTTGCTTTCTGAAACATTACTGCTGAGGGAATCAAATGTATAGCATTTTTTGGTCAGGCAAAAATTTTTTTAGTATCACCTTGTTCCCCACCATCTCCTTTAGTATCCACAGTAATATGGGGCCACAGCTCGCAACAATACTAGGTAATGTTGCTGTGGTTTCCATAGCAAGTAAGATTTTATAAGATGAAATTGCTAGCCCCATGTCCAACCTGATTTTTGCTTACCCCATCTAAGTATGGACTGCTACATGAACAAAATTGTTTTTATTTTTACAATGATGCAACCAGCTGAATCAATATTGACAGGAAGATGAAAATGAATACAATGTTATCTTGTGCTTTGAAAAGACACAATGTTATCTTGGGCTTTGAAAAGACACAATGTTATCTTGGGCTTTGAAAAGACACAATGTTATCTTGGGCTTTGAAAAGACACAATGTTATCTTGGGCTTTGAAAAGACACAATGTTATCTTGGGCTTTGAAAAGACACAATGTTATCTTGGGCTTTGAAAAGACACAATGTTATCTTGGGCTTTGAAAAGACACAATGTTATCTTGGGACACAATGTTATCTTGAAAAGACACAATGTTATCTTGGGCTTTGAAAAGACACAATGTTATCTTGGGCTTTGAAAAGACACAATGTTATCTTTTTGAAAAGACACAATGTTATCTTGGGCTTTTGTTATCTTGTTATCTTGGGCTTTGAAAAGAAGCTGTCATTAAGCAGTTTGAATTTTTCAGTTTTTTCTGTAGAAGCTTTATTGCAGTAAATATTCTTTTTATTTCTATTTTATCATTTTTTAGCTAAAGGTGCTACTTTTGGACAGCTTACGCAAATGAAACAAGTTCATTACTCACAACATCAACATCAACAATTACAACGCAGAGCTGCATTCCAAGCACCTAAGGCATCAAGTAAGTAATATAATTTTTATTTCAATTAATACAAATAATTAAAATATTATTAAATATTATCAAGTAATTAAAATATTATTAAGTATTGTCAAGTGATTAAGTATTGTCAAGTGATTAAGTATGGTCAAGTGATTAAGTATGGTCAAGTGATTAAGTATGGTCAAGTGATTAAGTATGGTCAAGTGATTAAGTATGGTCAAGTGATTAAAGTATGGTCAAGTGATTAAGTATGGTCAAGTGATTAAGTATGGTCAAGTGATTAAGTATGGTCAAGTGATTAAGTATGGTCAAGTGATTAAGTATCGTCAAGTGATTAAGTATCGTCAAGTGATTAAGTATCGTCAAGTGATTAAGTATCGTCAAGTGATTAAGTGATTAAGTATCGTCAAGTGATTAATTCAAGTGATTAAGTATCGTCAAGTGATTAAGTATCGTCAAGTGATTAAGTATCGTCAAGTGATTAAGTATCGTCAAGTGATTAAAATATTGTGAAATAATTATAATATTAAATAATATTCAGTCATGAATATCTGAATATAACTTTATCATTGAATAATCTAAATGAAAATTTCAGTATCGCTAATCCCATAACTGCCATGATGTTTAATTTAATAATCTGAAAAATTTGTGTTTAAAAAAATAGTAATTTGTCAGATAAAAATTAAAAAAAAACAAATATAATTTCAAAATAGCTATAGTGGTTATAATGTGATTATTATTTTCTTAAACACTACTTACATTATTCGGACTATTGTCCTCATCTTTGCCGCCATATTTATTACAACGTTTCGGCCGTTGTACGCTCCGGCTTTCTTAGTCCAAATAACCTAAATAATGTACATAATACCTCATCTCAGAAATATAGACAGATATTTTCTTAAAGTTACTAAAATTATTTTTTGTACAAAGGAATGAAACAAATAAAAGGAAAAATCATAAAAAGATTAAATATTTTTTTTTTTTTTTTTTTTTTTTTTTAAGCTTTGGGTCAAGCTCAAGTTGGAAGCAAAACACCTTTAGGAATTAATGTACCATCAGTTCAAATAATCCCAACTCAGAAATCAATTACAATGCAACAATTGAGCCAGATAATGAAAAGTCAACAGGGCAATCAAAGTGCAGCCATACAACAGATTATCACAACCCAGCCAACCATCATTGCCAGCATGAACCAACCTCAACCCACAGGAACCCACATGGTTGCTAAGGTGTCCTTGGCAACAGGTTCCCCAACATCTCAGATACAAACAATATCTGCATCTCAAATCAACATCACTCAGGAATCTGGAGTAACAAGTTCAACTCGGACAGTGAGCACACTCGCTCAGCCAACATCAACTGTTGTTAAAACAGTTGCACATGAAGCAAGTGTACAAGTGCATCCAACACACACAACACTGGCACAAAGTACAAAACTTACAAGCTTATCACCATCAGTGGTGTCACAGGCACTACAATCACCTCAGTCATTGCAACAGTTACAAATGACACTTGCTAGACATGTGCAATCAGCTCAGTCTACTGGACTTCCTGCCACAGTAACAGTAACACCTGCATCACAAACTGTACACCACACACCTGTTACTGTTGCTGCTGTGGTCAGCCAACCTATACAGCAGCAGCAGCAGTCAACAGTCCAGCAGCAGCAGCAACCAGTAGTCCAGCAGCAACAAGCACAACAGCAGCAGCAACAACCACAACAACAACAACAGACAGTTCAGCAAACACAACAAACTGTTTTGCAGCAACAGCAACAACAAAAATCTTCTCATTATGCAATGAGAACCCGGAACACCCCTAAACATTAACCTTTCACATTGTAAAGATACTTTTGGTTTTAAACACCCCCTTTTATGCTCACCATTAACTACAATACTTCCAAAATCAAGATTTATTCTTGATGCTAAAGATGTAAAATTTTCTAGTTGTTATCATTTACATTTTATATATATATATATATATATATATATAAACACACACACACACACACAGCATCAAAAGAGTTTTTTTTTTTTTTTATTGTTTAGGTTTGGACTTCTGCAAAAAAAAAAAAAAAAAAAAAAAAGAACCGAAAAAAGTACAAAATAAGTTTTGAGTGAATTAACTTTTCTGTATATGATAACACAATAATATATATACATATCTACAGTCCTAAAATGGTTTTGAAAGAAAAAATATGCAAGTTCTGTGGTCTGGCTTTGCCCAGTTTAAAATGATTTTATGGATAATCATTATTTCTCTAAATAATTTTATTTTGTTATATTTTCATCCAACATAAATATGTAAACGAAGAAAGTAGGCAGACCTAATAAAAGAGATTTGTTTGCATGTGTTCTTTTGATATTACATTGCAAACTACCCTCTTCTCATCTTGCTTTTCACTTGGATAAAAAATGGTTAGGCATATTTTTAATCTCGGTTTCCATATTTTAGCTATCCAAATCTTGATAAAATCGTAAAGGCCCCTTAGTTATAAAATATTTTACATTGAAAATTTGAATGTAAAATGACCAGTTAGCATTTCCGATATGCACCAGTAGAAAACTGGTGTATTTTAAAATTTCATCTCCCTTAATGTTAAATTCTGTTTTTGCTCATATTAGTTTATCGATTACTGCATTCAGTAATATAAAAGATGACTTTTTCTTTCTCATCACAGTGAATAATGCAAGTTTACAAAATTTTCTATAGCAATTTCATACTCCAACAAGATACTAAAAAAAAAGAAAAAAAGAAAGAAAACTCAAAATAGAATACAAAAAAGCTCATGAAAAATAGAAAAGAAACTGACTTGGTTTATTCTTGTTGCAAAATGCTTTATAAAACATTCATTAACTGAATGAGATCTGCATTTGGTTTTAGAAAAAAAGACTGTTTTGATATCTTTTACTTTTTTTAAATTAAATATTGGTGTTTTGTTTAAAAATTTGTCTCCAAACAGTGAAAGGTAGGGAAACAACAGGACACAGGAGCATAAGTTGGGATCTAATTGCATCATTTTCATTTGTCTGTGTAATGTCAGTGGAAATTAATTTTTGTCTCTTTCTTTCATGGAGATAAATTTTAAGGATTAATGTTTGGAAATTATGTCGATTTATCAAGAAAAAGATAATTTCATAAAAATCAGTTCAAAGTTTATTTTATAAAAGTTAAATCTTATTTGTTAATTAAGCAATATAATCCAAAAGATTTTGTCGTGTAGGAAACAATACCCAAGTAAAAAAAAAACATGGGTTTCTCAATATTATTTTTTTAATACAGGATGTAGCAGTAATACCTCCCATATAATAAGATATTAGTGGCAATGGTGTCAATCTTGCTAATGTTTTACCATTATATGGGAGGTATTTCTGCTGCACCTTATATTTTAGTGGAGATAAGTTAATTACTTAGCATGACTTTGTTTTTTATAACTTTTAGCAAAAGGAAAAAACTGAATATATTTCCAACAATTTTATTTTTTTTATATTGGCAACAAATATAAGATAAAAAATGGAACTTACTTTCTTAAAGACTTCTATTAGGATTTTCATTATAAGACTTTCTATCAAGTTTTTTTCAAGATATTGCCAAATATTTCTGATGAGCATAAATGATACAGAAATTAAGTACAACTATATATATATATATATATATATATATATATATATATATATATATATATTTCTTATGCAAAGTTATAATTAAATTTTAAAGAAAAATAAAATCTGGCAAACATGGATTTTCATGCCTGCAAAAAAAATGGTGTTAAAAGGATGGCTTTTTCCCATGATGCTCTGCTTTTATTAACTACTTGGCAATGTTTATTATTTTAAAAAGTGATGATTAGAATTGTAATAAAACTTAAACATATGATGAAAGTGAATTTAAACATGTTTTGTTCTTGTGAGTTTACAACAAAAATATTATATTATTTATTTATTAGATTGTTTATTTGAAAGAATAATTTTTTTATGCAATTAAAACTAATGCAATGCAATATTTATCGTTTACCAATTCATAAAGAAATAAGTATGAAATCAATTTTTTATTCATAAATTTATAAACATTTACTAAATTATTAAAATGTGTAAACCAACTCTAAGAAAATCCTTATTTACCATTTTATAAAGTTTGAATCAATTGGCAATTAGATGATGTTTTGCCAACCATTCCAATAGGCAATCTAATAAATAGTGTTTATTTTTTTGTTTTCAATTCTCAAGAACAAAGAAAATGTATAAATTCACTTTCAGATGTGTAGGTTTTATTACAATTCTAATCATTGTCTTTTAAGACAATAAAATATTGCTGAAGAGTGAAGGTAATTAAAATAAAAGCAGTGTATTGGGAAAAACTCCTTTTGACATTGGTTTTTTTTCTTTTCTTGTGGGCATGAAGATCCATGTTTGCCAAAAATCCAATGCAATAGCTATTGAAATACCATATTTATTATTGAATATACACTCTATCTCTTTGGTAATGAGCGAGTCAAAATCCAGCTATACAAATTACTTTCATATACTTTTTAAGTTTCTAAAGGTTAAATGTAGATATATATTTGTGTATATACACATGCAAACACACACACACAAAATCTTTTTCCTTTGTCTTTCTTTTTTTTTTTTTTTTTCTTCTAAGGCGTTAATGGATTTTATCTCACATTATTTCTCATTACTATAAACATTATATCTAGTGGATGCATGTATTTAAGTAGACTTTTTTCTTTTCTTTTTTTTTAACAGAATGACTTCTACAAGCCTGGGGTTTTTTTTGAGTTTTTATTAAGGAAAATAGAACCTCCAGCAGGGTTTGAACCTGCATCCCACTTATACAGGGGGAAACCTCAGATCATATAGTAGTTTCCTCTATATAAATGGGACATATGTTCAAAACCTGCTGAAAGCATTATCTTTATTAAAAACTGAAAAATTCAAGCTGCTTAATGACAATTATTCTGTTTAAACAAATACATATGTCTACTCAAACATGTAGCTATTAAATATAATGTTTATAATAATGAGAAATATGTATCATATTTAAAATAAATGTGATATCTTAATAAATTCAATAGATTTATCTTACCTTGACTAGCAGATCTGTGTTTGCAAAACAAAAAAAGTTGGAAGATAAATCATTGAACATTTTATTTATCTATTAACTATAGACACTTTTATTTATCTATTAACTATAGACACTTTTATTTATCTATTAACTATAGACACTTTTATTTATCTATTAACTATAGACACTATTTTATTTATCTATTAACTATAGACTCATACACTATTTTCACACAGTGCACATTTAGAGTAGTTGTCATAATAGAAATATAAAATAATGTTTAATTTATTCAGCAGGTTCATGTACAGGGTGTTTCAAAAAATTTAATATCATTTGAGATGTAAATATCTGAGTACCTACATACATAGTCTAGGCAAATTAAACTAAACAGGTAAAATGGCAAAGTCATATTTATTCATCAAAATTTGAGTAATCTGAGTTTTTCACATTTGCTCTTCTTCCTCGGGGTTTTTCAGAAATATTATCTGAACTCATTTGGCCATTCCTTCTTATACTGGTGGTCATCCAAATCCTTTTGCCCAGCACAGCCAGCCTTTGTCTTAATTTTTTGTGCCATGTTCAAATCTGCATTGCAGTTGGTTCATTTTTAGCGAATCCTCTCACAAATGCACACTGCAATCTTGTTCAACTGTGTTCAAGCATATCCTAACACACAAAACACGTTTTCTTTTCCAGTGAATGGCATTTATATATCTGAAAAAAAACAAAAAACAAACAACAAAAAAGTTAAATTTTGAGTTGTTTCTACACTTGTTGTTATGACTTGAGATAATTTGAACGAGAATTGGTCAAGTTATTAGATTAAGAAACATTACCAAATTTTATGAAACACCTTGTGCATTAATTGAACATATTTGAAGAAGTAGTAAAAATGTTTTGAATTATTTCATTCATAATTTTCAATTATAACATCGTATTGTAGTCATTGTATGATAACCTAAGTGTGTGTTCAGTTGCTGTACAGGTTAGTTAATGCCAAACTGGTTATATCTTTTTTTTTTCTCTCCAGTCTCAGATTGTATCCATTCATTACTTAACAACCATATATTTGCACCTTAAACAGAAAGGTTAAGAAGTTAACATTAAGCAGCTCCATATGCGTGTATTAACCTTGTTGTTTAGTCATTAGTAATGTCATTAATAATTTCTCTTTTCCTTCACAAAAGAAAACAAAATCCCAAGCGGAGAAATGAATGCATGTGTGCCTCATGTTCATTTTTTTGTTTTTTTGTTTTGTCTTAAATCATTTTATTTTACATTTTGTACAGTGTCCTTTTTTGTTTATAAAATCCTGAATTGTAAAAATGAAAAAAAAAATCAAATAAAATATTTAAAAAAAAACACAAAATCTTTGGGCTAAAATTATTCTTTTAAGACCAATATAAAAATTTTTGGCAAACTTGGACCTTCATGCCTGCAAAAAAATAAACAGTTTCAAAAGAATGATTTTTCTATTTCTATTATTTTAACTACCTTCCATCCTTGGCAATGTTTATTTTAAAAAGCAATAGTTAGAATTGTAATAAAACCTAAA